GGTGCGGGGAGCAGGCGCTGAGCTACGCGCAGGTGGAGCGGCGCAGCAGCCGGGCGGCGCGGGCGCTGCGCGAGTTCGCGGGGCTGCAGCAGGGCGACTGCTTGGCCCTTGTCCTGGGCAACGAGCCCGCCTACGTGTGGCTCTGGCTGGGCCTGGCCAAGCTGGGCTGCGCCATGGCCTGCCTCAACTGCAACATCCGCGGCAAGTCCTTGCTCCACTGCTTCCAGTGCAGCGGGGCCAAGGTGCTGCTGGCAGCCCCAGGTGAGCCCGGGGACGGGAGGGGCCAGGTGCAGGCTGGGCACGGGCACGGGCCACCGGGAGCCTCGCCCTGGGATGCTTCTCACCCTGTGTCAGGCCCTGGGGAGGCGGCCTGGCTGGCATCCCCCGGTGTCGCTTTGTGCCAACGTCAGCACGGGAAAGTCGGGTGCAGCTTGCCTGGCTCAGATGCGGCAAAGGTTCGTACTTCTCTCGGTGCCCGGTCGGCATCGGAGGCTCCACCTGCACGGCAGTCGGTTGAAGGCGGCAGGGCTCAGGATGGGCAAAGGAGGGTCTGTCTGGAGGCAGCAGGTTGCTGGATCAGTGCTTTGTCAGAGCGCTGAGCCTGGATGCTTCTGATCGCAGCATGTGCAAGGTGCTTGGGATGTGTCGAGGATCCTCCGACTCAGGTGGCACGTAGCCTTCTCGAATCGTGGGTAGCACGTTTGCACTTTCAAAGAATGTAGTAAGGGTGAACGCCAGAATGGAAAGAGCTGATGTGGCCGCCACAGGTGCTTTCTCTGTGATGCAAAGAAGTCAGCCCTCCTGCCTCGCCAACACAAGAAATAAAATAGCCATCTTCATCATAAAAAGAAATAAGAATGATTTACAGCAACGTTTAGAAAACTGCATTCAAATTGCATCAATGCAGCTGGGATGCAACTTGTCAGAGAAATTAAGACAGTTTTATTCCAAGTTGTTGATCCTGTAGATCTTATATTTACTTTTTAAAAATTGGGTGAAGGACCTCCAGGGTGGATTTAATTTAAATCAAATCGATGTAAATCATGATTTAAATCACAGGTCAGGAAGCCTTGATGTAATCATTGTCTTCAACAAAAGGTGCATTCTTGTTGTTTGAGAGAACCTTAATACATGTTATTCACAACTCAGGGATAGAAGTAGGTTTCATTTTTAGAAGATACACCCTATACATTTTAAAGTAATGATTCATTTTGATTTTTTTAAATATCAAAATAAGCACATGTATTTTTTAATTTTTAACTATTTTAGTTATGTGAAATGTGTTTTTAACAAAAATTAAATGGATTATGTCAGCCAGGTCAGCTTGAGAAACTTAAAATACTGTGTTATGCAGCAAACTCAGTCATCACCATCCTCTTCCTTTCTATTCATAAACTGGAGAAGAAAGACAAGCTTTCCTGCTTTTTCAGTTCCCAAGCAATTTCTCAATTTAGAATGAAATAGTCCAAAGGAAGAAAATATTCTTTCTACACCTGCAGAAGAAGCTGCTGCTGATAAAGGCTGGATTATCACTTCAATAGTCTCTGATGGATCCAGGTGCTTAAGTGACTTCCACCAGTTCACTGGTGTGACTTTCTTTAAAACCTCATCAGCAAACATATATTTCTTAGCCCAGAAATTTATTGTAGTTGGTATTATGGAGGGATAATTGCTGGATGCCCATGTCATAGCCAACTCCTCTTCCTCAGCAGTTAAGGATTGACCCTAGTACCAAGTATTGAGAATATTGGCAAGGAAATGAGCTGGAGATAGTACTTGATCCATTTATTTTTTAATGCCTATAATTTAACTCTGTCATTGCGTATTTTTCTTTTAAAGGTCTCATGCAGTTTCTTCCAAATTTCAACAGCATCAGCAATAAAACAGTGATTTCTCTGCACGTTGTTCAAGGCTATGGAAATAGGCTTCAGGATAGTCAGCATATGGTCTACAATTCTCTTTAGCCTAATGTTGAGAACTTTGGCTATGACAGTTCCATCTATTTTGTCATGATTTCGTTCACAAATTGTCATCAGATTAGGCTAGTTCTCAATGTATCGCTCAGAACAGTCCATGGCTGAGTTCCATCACGTCTTGTGGGACAGTTAGTTTGGTTCCTCCTGCTTTCTTCAGAGCAGCTGCTGCAAAGTGGTTGTTACAGGAGTATTTCGCAATTTCAGCAACATTACTCTTTATTTCTGGAGCACTGAAGTCTTTGGCTAAGAGGTGCATCAAATGAGTATTGCAGCCATATGTTAATAGCTTGGGGCTTTCTTCACTTTCTTCTAGATTTCTTCTTATCTGATACATTTGCAGCATTGTCTGTGACAAAGCTGCATACTAGACATTTGAATTTTTTTTCAGTTTGTTATAGCTTTTACTGCTACTTCTTGTAAGTATTCTGCTCTGTGTGCATTTCTTGATGTATCAATTGTTTCTGTAAGGTAGACAGTCCCTTCTGTTGTCACACAAGCATATATTACTGAATCATTGTGGCCATTACTCCACCCATCAAGACTCAGGTTAACAATTTTTCCCCTCTGGGCTTTTTATGCACGGTTCAATTTCTTTCTTACACACTTTATCCAGCAATATTGTCTCAAATAGTATATAATTAGAAGTTACAATTCCTATTCTATGATGATATCTTTGAGTTTTACCATATCTTAAATTAAAACTATATATCTTTTTTAAAAAAATCTTAAAAATACGATTACGTTTTAAAAAATCTGATTTAAATAAAAAAAATCCAATGTTTTTTATCCACCCTGAGGACTCCCCAGTTCATTATCAAATATATCTTTGGCTGACTGGGGCAGGTCAACAATTATAGAAAACATCCCCTTTTGCATGGAGAACATGTAACTTATTCTGGGTCCAGTCTTGCAAATGTTTGTGTATGTATTTCAGTTATGCAAAGGGATTCCAGACATGTCTAAGATCAAAGATGCACATGAACATTTGCAGCATCCAGGACATTAGAGAACTGAGCAGTATGTCATTACCATTAGACACCAGTCAGGCTGTCAAGACTTTGTTCAAACATATATTTCAAATGTATCAAGAAAAAAATATATACCATCTTTCCCACTGTTGAACATGTAGAGAGGTGGGGGCATATTCTCATCAGGATTAATCAATGTGACTATAAAAGGCAACATTGCTTTTAACCTTCCTGATTATGGTGCTGTCTTCATCCTCAGCACTAATAAGGGCAGCGTTCAAAATATCCATTGAAGTCAATGGAGCTGTACCAGTTCACACCAACTAAAAACGTGGCTACTGTTTCTCTACGTGCCACCAGTTTTGAGAGTATGTGCTTGGGGCCAGATTTGTCTGTTAGGCAAAACTTCCTTTGACTGCCAGGAGTTGGGAACATTTGCATGAGTAAATCAAGCAGGATTTGGTTCTGGATGCTCACTTCATTCAGGCAAGCTGGTCTGCAACAGTGGCTGTTTGAGTGGAGTTGTCGATGAGGGTCCCTGTTAAAACACTTGAATATGTTTGTTCACAGGGCAGTTGTCATGTCCCAGTTTTAAAAAGCTTTTTGTGTGCTTTGGAGTGTACCTGTAAGATTTTTGCATAATGTTATGAAAATGTAGACTCTCCCTTTTGTTTTGATTCATGCAGCTGCCTGGTATTTAAATCATGGCTTTGAGTTTTATTTAGGAAAGCAGCCAATTTGCTGGTAACTATCCCATCCAAACTAGATCGCACTGTTTGTCCAATACAGCAAAGGAGAAACACTAACCATCATACTGTACATCAAAATAAGCCATTAGTTATTTTCTGCTTTGCCCCCTTTTTATTGTAATGTTCACTTTTTCCCCCCCTTGCATTGAGACTTGCTAAGAATAGAATTCTTCTTTGGGTGGAGGGCATGGGGGGATTTAAGTAGTATAAAACCATGGGCAGGCACTCTTCATTTTGTATTAGGAGGTCAGTTCAGTACTTTTTGTGGCAATTTTGCATTGGCTGAAAAGAGGCTTTAAAACCCTCAGCACAGGAGCCCTACACAGGAGGCACAGAGGTGGTTAGACCACCTGTGTGTTCCCCACAAGTATCATGAACAGGAAGAAATTTGTCTGGAGCACTTCTTTATCCCTGATTCCAGCTTTGTCCTTACTAGTAGTGAAGGTTGAGGCACAAACTCTTTCTCCTGAGTCCTTTCACCATGTTCTGAACTGACAGGTATGGGTCACCCTAAGTGCCATTAGCACAAAATCTAGCACAAGACAAACCTGGGTGAAATTAACATGAATTAAATTATTTATTCTTTTGTTCTTTAAGAACTGAAATCAGCTATTGAAGAAATATTACCAAGTCTAAAGGAACAAAATGTTAGAGTCTTCTACCTAAGCAGGACATCTGATACAGATGGGGTTGACAGCTTTCTCGATAAAATGGAAAGTGTTTCAGATGAGCCTACCCCACAGTCATGGAGATCCAACGTCACTTTTAAAAGTGCTGCCTTGTATATTTATACCTCTGGCACTACAGGTAATGTAAATATGACAAAAACTAGGGAAATGGATGAATTAAAATGTCATATTAATTGAAGTTTATTTTTCCTTTGTAAACTTAAATTTGTAACCAGGAGCACTGTAATTTTAAAAAAATCTGATTTTGTCTGAAAATACTTTACCTACTAATGTTACAAGCAATACCTAAGTTTTTTGTACCTGAAAGAGATTAAAGAAAATAAAATACTTCTTCTTTAACTTTGTGCTTTTAAAAGTACTTTTACATACAGTCAAGGCTTCCTTGTTTAAGGCAAGATTCTAGGACACCAGCAGAGGAGAGAAAACCCTTTGGAGCACAGGCAAATATGACTATAAATCTCCTGGATTGTCCAAGAAATTCAAACAGATGCAGTGCCAGGCACTACTGTAAATTTACACTTTTTAAAATTGCTGAGGTTTCAAAGTGATGATGCCTATTAACTATTGTGAGCACATTTGAAAGTAAACATTTTGCAATTGTATGTCAGTGTGTAGAGCCATTTGGCTTTGTGTTGTCTTTTTTTAGTAGACATGCTTGTTAGACAAATATTCCTTCCATTATATTATTTAATGTGGCATACATTTATAGCCTTTTGAATAGAGTTTTGTGTTTGAACTAAAATGGAACCAAGTTTGGGCCCTTAAAAAAACACTGAAGATTTGATCCTCAGTGGTACAGAGCATCAGTAACTTCCACTTGTTTCAAGAGGAAGTCAAGTGTGCTCTGAATGTTGAATACGTTAGGAGCTCAGATCCCACCAGTCACTAGGCAGGGTAGTAGTCTTATTGGAAATGCTTCTGGGAGTAAGGATTTCTAGACAAAATGGTAGTGGAGCATAAATGGTAGTGGGCAAACATAGTGCCCATATTTAAGAAAGGGAAAAAGGAGGATTCAGGGAACTACAAACCAGTCAGCCTCACCTCAGTCCCTGGAAAAATCATGGAGCAGATCCTCAAGGAATCCATTTCTAAGCATTTGGTGGAGAAGAAGGTGCTTAGAAACAGTCAGTGTGGATTCACCAAGGGCAAGTCATGCCTGACCAACCTGATTGCCTTCTATGAAGAGGTGACTGGCTCTGTGGATGCAGGGAGACCAGTGGATGTGGTATACTTTGATTTTAGCAAGGCTTTTGCTAAAATCTCCCACAACATTTTCACAGGCAAGCTAAAGAAATATGGGCTGGACGAATGGACTGTAAGGTGGATAGAAAACTGGCTGGAGCATTGGGCTTAGAGGGTAATAATCAATCGTTTGATGTCTAGTTGGCAACAAGTATCAAGTGGAGTGCCCCAGGGGTTGATCCTGGGGCTGGTTTTGTTCAATGTCTTCATCAATGACCTGGAAGATGGCATAGAGTGCACCCCCAGCAAATTGGCAGATGACACCAAGCTGGGGGGAGTAGTAGGGTAGGGCTAGGATTCAGAGTGACCTAGACAAATTGGAGGATTGGGCCAAAAGGAATGTCATGAGGATCAACAAGGACAAATGCAAAAGTCCTGCACTTGGGACAGAACAATCCCATGCACCAGTACAGGCTGGGGACTGTCTGGGCAGCAGCTCTGCAGAAAAGGACCTTAGGGTTACAGTGGACAGGGCTGAATATGAGCCAATAGTGTGACCTTGTTGCCAAGAAGGCTAATGCCATACTGGGCTGCATTGGTATGTGTTGCCAGTGGGTCCAGGGAAGTGATTATTCCTCTCTATTCAGCACTGGTGAGGCCACATCTAGATTATTGTGTTCAGTTTTGGGCCCCCACGACAGAAAGAATGTGGATAAATTGGAGAGAGTCTAGCAGAGGGCAACAGACATGGTGAGGGGGCTGGGGGACATGACTTAATGAGGAGAGGCTGAGGGAACTGGGCTTATTTAATCTAGAGAAGAGAAGACTGAGCGGGGATCTAATGGAAGCATTCAGCTACCTGAAGGGGGATTCAAAAGAGGATGGAGCTGGACTCTTCTCAGTGGTAGCAGATGACAGAACAAGGAGCAGTGGGCTCAAGTTGCAGCAAGGGAAGTTTAGGTTAGATATTAGGAAGAATTTGCTCACTAGGAAGGTAGTAAAACACTGTAGTGGGTTACCCAGAGAGGTGGTGCAATCTCCTTCTTTGGAGGTTTTTAAGACCCAGCTAGACAAAGCTTTGGCTGGGACAATCTAGTTGAGGCTGGTCCTGCTTTGAGCAGGAGGTTGGACTAGATGACCTCCTGAAGTCCCTTCCAACCCTAATTTTTTATGATTCTATGATAAATCCCAGTCCCTGAGGAATGTTGTGCATCCCCATCTATCACACAAGGTTTGTGTTCAAACTTTGGTAGAGGGTAACTGTTCAATGGAGAGCACCCTGATGTCATGGAAAAACATGCTTGGAGGGGGAGACGCTGCTCTTGACCATATAGTTGTTAGGTGTGCAAAAGCCTGTAGCACTACAAGTGAGCTAAATCACCCCAGCTTTAAACCCACTTCATCTAGCAGGCTAGAGTTGTAAAGTGCCTAACCCTAATGCAGCCCGTGGTGACTTGGAGAGAGAGGAAATCCTTGCTTGTGACCCCACCTTGAGCACAATCTTATTTGTTACAATTACTGACCATATGAAAAAGTGAATCTTTTTTCTCGTCTTTTCACAGGTCTTCCAAAGGCTGCCATGATTACCCATGAACGCATAATGATAGCTTGTGGTTTAGCCACTGCAAGTAAAATTACTTCTGAAGATATAATATATACTACCCTGCCACTGTACCACAGTGCTGCCCTCCTGCTTGGACTCCACGGATGTATCATGCAAGGTAGAATGCACTTGACAGTTTCAATGAGTTACTGTGCACATAGGATGGGAGAGCAAAAAGTATAGGCAGAGCTGGCACTGCAGCTTCAGTTCAGCCTCTCAGCTGATGCACCAGCTGGTGAGCTAAAATGGTGGTTGCAGTCCCTGAGTATCATTTGCATAGAAACTTGGGGTGCTGAATGGCCATAATCATGAAAGCCATGGACCCACTGCTGACTGCTACTCTTTGGCTTTCATGGTGCCAGTGGCACTGCTACTCCATTCTCAGAACCAAGTGGCATATATCTGCTTCCCTTGTGCAGCACAACCACAGGGCTAAAGAGATGCAGTGCCACACATTTAATTCAGTCTGAATAACCCCCTGGCTTTTTGTTAGACAGTATTAGAATACAAAGCTAATTGCTTGACATGGATTGTATATGAACATACTTATGAGAACTGTCACTTTTTTTTTGTTTTAAGATGAAGCTGTATAGTGTGTCACCCTGCAAGGTTCCTACTCTCTTGCCACTAAGGAAATGATACACATTTTCTTCACAGTAGAGTTATTGTGTCTTAAGTCTTTTACCTTTTCTTCTTTTTGTGTAGGTGCAACCTTAGTTTTGCGCTCCAAATTTTCAGCAACTCACTTCTGGGACGACTGCAGGAAATACAATGTAACAGTTATACAGTACATTGGAGAGGTGCTTCGGTATTTGTGCAATATGCCAAAGGTAACTTTCTGTAGGAGAGTGATTTTTTTTTGCCTCTTTGCAAATTTGATAATTACAAGTGTGACCTGGATTACCTGTGTAATACTACTAAAAGACAGATTTTAGTGTATGATCTGTGATCTATAGAGAATGTATTCCATTGGTGCATATTGCTTGACTTTGTTTTTAATTTCTCTTTGTATTTTGCTGACTAGCTTTATTAAGTCAATGGGTTTGGAGTGACATTGCAGTCATGATGGCCCAAGGAATATGTGAGAAGAAAAGGTTTTTTCTTGGCAATATATTTTAGTGGAATGACTGCATTGTTTGGAGAGAGATTAGACAATCTTTTTGGCAACAAATCAAAAAGTATTACAATTAATATCAACTAGATCTTTGTTCAGCTATTTTCCAAATAACATTGTCAGTACTTTTCTAAAAGTTTCTGATTTAAAAATAATAATCCCAATGACTATTTTGAGTAGCACATTTTATATAATATTGGTATTTTAGTTTTTTAAGCCAGAAACTACATATATAGCTTTTTCTACCTGAAGAACAATGCAATTTCAATGGAACTTTAAAATTACAGTCAGGACAAGACCCTTGTTCTAAATAGTACACAGTCTAATTGTATGCTAATGTAATATTTTTTTTAAAAAAAGTATCAGTGTCTTGAACTCAACATTTTTGTCAGTGGTCTTAGAATCATATAATCACAGAGAATAGGGGTAGAAGGGATCTCCGCAGGTCATCTAGTCTAACCCCCTGCCTGAGGCAGGGTCATCCCTATCCAACCATCCTATACAAATCCATAATCTAACCTTTTAGTAAAACTACCATTAACTCTGACATAACACCCTAATCTGCCACAGGTAAAGCAGGGGGACCATGGCAGCCAATGTGCTACTTGTGTAAAAGGTTGTCAATATATGCTCAAGAGAACCCAGGCAGAGGGCCATGTCCTCTGCTACAGAGGAAGAGAAAGCCCCCACAGTCCATACCAAGTCTTGGTGGAGAATACTATTCTATGAAGTCAGGATTCTTTTTTCAAATTAACATGCAATTAAAATGAATGGGGGAAGCTTGCACCTGCTATGATCTATCTGGCTGAAAACCAAATGTGAACAAAAGGTCCAATTGGGAAATCAAGCACCATGTCGTTTTACATCTATCCAACTAGAACTGGTTTTCAGTAGGCAAGAAACTCTAAACGCAGGATAGCTGGTCACATGAGCTTTACAGGTGGAAGTGTCAGAAAAAACTATCCAAATGAGCAGACTAAGGGAATGTGTCTGACTGTATAGCATCATCTTGGTTTACTGATACTTTGAGATCCTTATAATCCAACGTAATTGATCAATTTGATAAGTATGTTAACTAACCAAGCCCATTAACATTTTATGTAGTGTTTTTTCAGAGCATATGCAGCTGACTAGCAATTAGAGCAGCATTAGACAGTGCAAATATGATGTAAAACATATCCATCTCCTCCCCTTGCCCTCTCCTACCTCCATTCTTTGCCTATGTGGAACGTGGCCAGGATAAATAATCAACCCAAACTTTTTTGCCAATTTTATTTTCTTGACACAGAATATCAAATATGAGGGCTGGCCTCTGATTTCAGTCATGGGTTTCAGCAAGGTTATTCTAAATTGGGCTTAGGGGTGCAAGCCAGATCAAAATCAGGCCCCTACCTTTTTATGTTGTTTCTGTATGACAGTTGGATCAAGCTGAGCAACGAATTAAAGGGACCATGTAAGTGGGTGAAAATGAGATTTTGAATCAGACCACCAGTGAAGAGCATCATCCAAAGTCCCATGTAGGATGATCAGAGAAAGGTGTGGTAGTGAGACCCAGTGGAGATATGAACTGACCTAGAGAAACTGGACATTTCTGCTGGGCAGTTAATACTCCAGCAGTGCAGTGAATACTAAGGTCTAAAAACTGAAGAGAGCAACTGTTCATCCAGAGTTGCAGCAATACTGCCAGGACTGTGTAATATTAAAGGTAATTGTCCTCCCACAGGACATCCTGATCCTTCTAGCACTGATAAGTACCCATGCTAGTTAACAAGGGTAAATTTGCCTTACTCTGTGTGCTAATATATTCAATATTGGTTACTACCTGTAATTGCAAAATGGGGATTGTTTTGAAGATAGAGGCAAGTGAATGATACCATGTACTCATATTTCACTGAATTATGTCCTTTGACAATTGGGCCACTTTTAGTCGTGGAATGTACTGGAAGCACAATTAGTACTGGACTTTGCTGCATTTAACCAGGACTGTAAGGCTTGAACAGCTGTTGGCAGCTTTGCCACCCAGTAAGAGGGCAGTTCAGACACTCAAGGTGAGGGGGCTTAGCAAGGCTTGAAATTCAGGTAAAACAGCTTAATTACTAAAGGTGACCTGCTCATTAAATTAGTGTTACATAGATGAGAAAATTGCAAGGTTGAAGCTGAAACCAAATGAAAGAACTGAAATGATGGGGTAGTGTAATTGAGTGGCACTGGGCAAGGAAAGCTGGCTTTCTCACAGGTATTATTCATTATTGGTGGCAGCTTATCTATAAAGATCAGATTTCATCTCAGATCTACACAGGTTATTTTTCATTGCTGAATACAGGAGTGGTTGTTTACATCAGTATATGGGATTCAGCATCTTTAGAGAAAGCACTTGTATACAAGCAAAGTCTACAGGCTTAATGCTGGGGACCCCTACATGCATTGGTTTGAATGGACATGTCTCCAGAAAGCTGCAGTTACCAGTTTATTGTGTATAAAACCTGGACCTTGTGGAAATTATTATTTGTACTAAAATGGTGGCAATAAGAGGGCTCCAGGGCCATTGCACTAGGCTTTGTAGGGGCATATCAGAGAGGCCATTTCTGCCTTGAAGAGCTTATGAGTCTAGGCAAGTTAACCTTAATGAACCTTCCTTTTCACTGCTTTCCTTGCTACACCAGCAGCCTTTCTGCAGACTTATCATTTATTTCTTTTATACAAGCCTGGAATAGAAGGTTAGTATTAGCCATAATTTTACTGCTGATTCACATTGTCTAACTAAGTCACATAATCATGTGCGTCACACCAGGGAGAGTGAACTTGGCCTGAGGGACTCAGCTGTGCTTCCATTGACTTCACAGGGTAAAAGCAGGGTCATCACCAAGATGCATGAATGAAGGTTGGAATCTCAGACCAATCAGATTAATCCACTAAAAACAGCCTGATCTTGCAGTTATCAGGCAGGCAAAACTCAAAATGCTGTGAAAGAAGGTGTCACGTCATTGCAAATAGCCAGATTCTACTCTGAGCCACACTGGCGTAAATCCAGAATAATTCCATCGACTTCAGCAGAATTACTCTGATCCAGTAGAGATACTACATCAGAGGTTTCTTATGGAATCTGGCTCTGGGTCAGAACCTCTGCTAGTTGAAGCTATCATAAGTCCATTGAATTCCCTGAACCATGATGATCTACACGAGTGAAGGATCTACCCCCAAAATATTATCATTTATTATTAGCACAACAGGTAGGGAAACAACTGGCCTTACAGTCAGTGTAACAACAAATTAACAGAATAGGTACTGCAGAAATCAGATGACACAAAAGGATTTCCTGCCTTCACTGTAGAGTGGCACGTGTTCTCTTCTTCTCTCGGCCATAGATCACGTGCACCCTAGATAACCCCTTTTACCCTACTCTGGTCAGTCTCCCTTAGCAGGCAGAAAAGAATGAATGAGAATAGAGACTTTACAGTTTCTCAGCAGACAGAGTAGATTGTTTCATAAATTGGTTGGTCTGCTCTTAATGAGAGATGTGCCATCCAAATTGAACTCAGCGATGATCAACAAAACTACTTAAACTAAACTTCTATTGCTAGCAGTAATAATCTAGGAGCTACCTGACAGAAGTCCAGAATAGTACTGCATATCAAAATTGTTAGAAGCAAAATGAACCCACCTTTACTATCAAGGCAAATTAACATGTAAATATATGCACATTTTAAACTTACTATAGCAGTTTTTTTGTCCACTCTGGTTGGGAATATCTGACAGGATTAATTGATCTGTCATTTTATGGGGTCAAATTTCTGTCTGGAATAATCCCGTGTTTCCAGTGGGCTTTCACCAGGGAGGAATTCAGCTCACTGTCTCTAATTAAGCAAGAAATAGCACAAGGAAAAGCATTACTTTATGTTTGTTTATAACCACAAAAGTGACAACAAGTGCGTTAACCATCTCACGTGCAATAGGTGAGAAATCTTCAGCTAATGCAACATTTCTTGAACTTTTGAAAGCTGGAGGCTCAGGACAATAGAAATAATTATGGTCTCCAACCAATTTGCAGAGCAACTGGGAAAACTTGCATTGCTGCTGCTGTCTCTCTTTTCTCAATCCTTCACTACTATTCACTTACTGACCCTTTGCCTCCCACACTCTAAACCAGGAGTGTCAAACTTATCCAGCTCTGGCATGGAGCTGGATTGTGCCCACAGACTCCTTCCCTTTTACCCCCCCCACACCTGATCCCATGGCTTCTCACCCCTGACCCCATGGCTTCTCCAGCCAATCTGGGACCCACGCTGGAGCAGGTGCCAAGGGTGGTGCACATCCCAGAGTGGGTACTGTGTGTCGTGCAGTCCAGCTGGGGCAGCTGCTGTATGCAGCATGGCTGCCAGTCCAGACTACACTGCACATGATGCCCTTTCCAGCTGCTCTGGGATTCATGACACACGGCACAGGTCCCAGGCTGTCTGGAGCCCCCACCATATCAGGTATGCTGGGGGAGGGGGGAGAGAGGAGAGTGAGTCCATGCGCTGGATCCAACCTGCAAACTGGTCCCACATGATGGATGCGTGCCATGCCCTGTGTGGGTCTGATTAGATGTGGGGGCAGCACTTGGGGCCAGATGGTGGGCTCCATGGGCCAGATCGAGCGCGCAAGCCATATGTGTGACACTCCTGCTCTAAACAATGCTAAAGACATTTCTCTTTCCAGTGCAACTGGCTATTTCTGTCTCTTGCTAATGTCCCACTGGAATAAGGCACCTTGAGAATATGCAGACAGCCTAATTATCTACCAAGCAAAATATCACTTGCACAGATAGCTAAGATTATGGCTACTGCAGGTGGAAACATGAGGTGAAAGTGTGGGTTTATGATGACATTTGGGCCACTCAGTAGCAGAGAGGGCAGCTCACATCTAAATAAATTTTTAAAAAACCTTGTGTGCCTCAAAGCAATATTGGGCACAAGAGTACAGGGAGCAAATTCTCCTAAAAATTCAGGGGATCTGCAGGAGCCACATCCTCAGAATTTGCCAAAATTCCCAGAAGGTTCGTCACTCCCATTCATTGTTTGTTAAAGGACACTGGAGTTGTGTGTGTTCAGCTCTTTTCTCTGGTTGGCTGACAGTGGGCAGCCACATGATCTGACTGTCCCCCACAGGCAGTGTTTGTCATCTCCATGTTTACTTTGTAAAAACACATTGATGATGCTGTTTAAAGATTCACATGAGATGAACTACTAGGTGTCTTTTTCATCAACTTATTCCTCGTTCAGCTTACTGGAGTTTTTGATCAAGTAAAGATGCCAGCCTAAGACTAACTTTTCATTTTGGAATGCTCTGTTGCAGTTTAGAGAATCTCAAAATCTGCCATCTTTCTCTCTGCAATTTTTTGCTGAACTAAGGGTGAAATTCACTTTTATGTAGAGGGTCACTGCACTGCTTACACACACAATAGGGCTAAAGAGGTGCTGAGGTGTCATTCTGGCCCTCTAAGTGGGCTGAATTTGAACCTCAGGGCTCTGTCCAGCCCTAATTAAATTTGGTTTAGCCACTGATTTCTGTCAGAGACAGATATTCAACCCAACATGCTCCAATACTCCTCTGCTTGCCACTGTTAGACAAAGTAAGTAGCAGGCCATCTGTCCATATCATAACCATCCACATCACCCAAAAAAATCTTGTGTCTTGCATGTTTCCTGGACCATCACCACTACAGCAACACTCCAACCCTACCACAACATAACTGTGTGTTTAGTCGTTGTGATGTTTTTGCACAATTTACTTCCAGGTGTGCTCAGTTCTTGCAAACTAAAATTTTCTTGAAACTTGTTCATTTGTAGGAATGTTTATTTAACAATTATAAACTCACTTTGGGTTTTCTTATTTCTAGAAAGACAATGACCGTGATCACAGAGTGAGACTTGCCATAGGGAACGGGTTAAGGGGTGATGTTTGGAGGGAATTTGTCAAAAGATTTGGAAACATCCGTATTTTTGAGTTCTATGCTTCAACAGAGGGAAACGTTGCCTTTGTTAACTACACTGAAAAAGTGGGTGCAGTGGGGCGTGTCAACTGCTTCCATAAGGTAAGAAAAAACCCTTGGAGGCTAGCACGCTGCTTTCAGGGATGACGTTCAGCCCATCACCAAGGATTGCCTAGACCCCCTGTATAATGTAAAACCCAAAGGGCCATCAGAGACAGTACCAAGCTCAATCTTAGACAAATAGTCTTCCCTTTCCCTATTTTAGCCGGTCTGCCAAACCCCTGTATATCAGAAGTACTGCTGCCATCTTTTTTTTTTTGGATTCCCATACAGCCCCCAGTACTTGGGCCCTGTTTATGTATTTGAAATGTGAACTTAGCACTTTTTCAATGCAAAATTAAATATACAGCATTATTGAAAATATAGTTAAGACATTCATATTCATGTGTTCATATATATTTTGTAAATTTTCACTAGAAGTTTATACAGTATGAGCTGATTAGATATGACGTGGAGAAAGATGAACCAATCCGAGATGAAAATGGATACTGCATAAAAGCTCCTGTAGGTATGAACTGGCTCTTTTGAAACATCACACACACATTCGCTACTTTAAACTGTCAGGAACCTTTCTGTGCCACTCAGCTGGAAAGGTACTTGTGTTTGGGGGTTTTTTTAAACCACAAATTAGAAAATGTTATATTAAGGAAACAAGATTCAGTAAGCAGCTTGTAAGAAAAGTAAGGGATGATGCTGGATTAATAATTCTATCTTTATATTATGTGTTTTAATAATTCTTTCACCCATCCTTTTGTTTGTGAAGTCTTTTGTAGTAAAGGGTACCTTAAAATGTTTGTTTGAACTCAGCCTTTTCCAAGATCTTGTCTATCAACTTAAGCTTTGTTCTTTTTTTTTTGTCTGATAAATTTGCATAACCTATCCCTGAAGAAGCATTTACAAAACAGGTGTAGAACAAAATTTGTGTCCCAGTAGATGAAACTTTTCATCATGAGCAACATAAAAATCACATGTATAAGTTAAGTAAGCTCTTTGATACTTTTATCTCACTATAAGGATTTTTCTATGGATGATGATTTTGGCTGGAGGGTGCAGTTCTGAATTTAAACAGAACATACCAGGTACTTGTTGATTGACTTGCTGCTGAATGGCCCAATTTATAGTATTTTTTAAATAGCGTATCTTGTCCCATCCTTTCAACTTTGCACCTGAAGGTGTTCCAAACTTTCATCGTGAGGCCAGAATCTATTTCATTTACCTTCTTACAAGTCCACTATAGTTGGCAGAATTACACCGGTATGTTTGAGAGAAGGATTTGGCCTCTGGAGTAAACAACACCAGATTTGCAGTTGTGTGAGGGAAAAGCCTGAGAGGGTGGTCATGGCTGGGAGGTGGGGCAAAAATGCTAACTCCCTCTGTACGTATGGGGGCACATCACAAGCATATGTGATGTACCCTGATACTGGACACATTTCACTGAGGTCAGTGGGCAAATAGGCATTTATATAGTAACAGAGGATCTGTACCTGGAATCATCTGTCCACTCCCCTCATTAATAACCCTAGATCACGTACTGCTAATGAGGAGAGGGCAGGGCATGCCTAGCGAATATTCTTAATTCTGTGTTTAAGCCTGGCACATCTGGGGTTTTAGTTGTGGGGACTATTTCTAGTATTTGGCCATGAATGATTATCAGATGCTTGATGGAATCTGTCATGTAGGAATGGAGCCCATGTAAGTTGTACCCAGAATCCTAAAATAGATGGCAGGCTGCATCTGAAATGTATTTTCTATGCAGTCTAAATAAAATTTACTCCAGCACATGGCATCTGTAGGGGCCCAGCTTGACTACTCAACATGGGCAAATGGCAGGTGAAATTCAGATACAGGCACCAACCTGCACCATCCCTGCCTTCTGCTGACCCCTCTTGCTCACTGATAACACATAACAGCAGCTGCTTCTGGTTTAGAGGGTGAAGGAGCTGTGAACACACATGCACACACACACACACCCCCCTGTGTGTATATGTTCTGCATTCAGAGTAAGCAGGTCAGAGCCTGGGTGCACTTACTCTCCATACCAAGGCAATTCTTTTTGCTGCCTTTGGGGTAGCTGAGAGAGGAGCAAGCTCAAACCATGCAGGACAGAATAGGAATAGCCATCTTATAGGGAAAAGCTGAGCATATGGCCTGCCTCAGAGCTCATGCAAGGACTAGTGTTGTAATTTGCTCAGGGAATCTGGGTGCCCAGTCTCCATTTTTTTTAAAGAACTTTGGACATGCAAACTCTTAAGTGACTTTAAAGATTTCGTCTTACATTTTCAAAAATGTCAGGCTGATGTCTGTGCTCCTGTCCTTCTGCGCATAGATTGCTAACATTATAATTTGTTGTACTGATAATTTTAAGGAAAGATGATTATATAAAAGAAAACTAAAATGGTTCTGCAGATGCTATAAACACCACTAGTTTCATATATGATAACAAATGTTTTTAAGTGCCATCAGTTTACATGGTGCTTTGCAAACACAACAGATGTGTGTTTTTTTTCTCCTTCCTAGGTGAACCAGGGCTCTTGATCTGCAAAATCTCACAGTTTGCTCCATTTACTGGCTACGCAGGAGCAAAGAGCCAGACAGAGAAGAAGCAGCTAAGAGATGTCTTCCGGAAAGGAGATTTATATTTCAACAGTGGTGACCTCTTAGTGATTGACCGAGACAACTTCATCTATTTCCATGACCGGGTTGGAGACACATTCCGGTTAGTTTGCTTAAGACTGAAGATTATGTAAATTCATTCTCAGTTCCTTGTAATCCCTTGTACAGAGTCTCTCACATGAAAGCATTCTGCCCAATGTGGAAGCCACAAGGGGCTTATGTCACAAATTTCCTATTTTTGTCTATTTTGCTCGTGTAGCATATACTAGTGCACATGTTGCCTATAGCAAATTAAATTTAGGATGGTGAATGGACATGCCCATGCTTTCTTTTAAGTTTCACATTAATTAAATTCACTTCTTTATTTTTTTTAAGGGAAATTAAAGGGTCTTTTTTTATCAAAGATGGGAATAAAGTTAAACTGTGCCTTTTTATTAGTTTAAAAGCCCTTTTAAATGCTTGCGAGCTGGATGTATTCCAGATCTGGTCAGACTTAAGTAATATGGAGTGTACCATGATGCTTTGCTTCATATTTTCCTCTCCTCTTAAATCCTTGTCTCAGTGGGAATGTATTCCTTAATCCCAGCATGAATGTGCAATGACAGAAACCATTATAACAAACACTGTTCACCAGATTTGAATAATTTATATAGAAATGATGAAATTTTCATACTGTTTTTGTTTCCCAGATGGAAAGGAGAAAATGTAGCTACTACTGAAGTTGCAGATATTTTAGGATTGGTTGACTTTGTCCAAGAAGTTAATGTATATGGAGTGCCTGTACCAGGTATAAATGAAACACCTGACAGTCTGGGTAATAAAAGATCTATTTACATAGTTAACATAATTTCATTACATCCATATGATCTGTAAAAACAAAAGCAATCTCCTTCAGCTTTTCTATTTTTCATATACTGTATTTGGTAAATCCAATCATTCATGTGTATATAATGTCCATTAGTGGAGAAGCCTTAGTAAAAGCTTTCTTTATAGTCTTACATTTAGCAGAGTCAGTTAACAGGAATACGGGAGAGGATTTGAGAATAAAAAACCACGCTAGAATATAAATAGCAATTATGTTTTATAACAACCTGATCTGCAATTACTGTAACATGAGACAAAGAAAACAGTGAAAGGAGATTTCTGGGAAAATGTATAAGACAGTAGTTTAGGAAAGTGAGTTCTCTCCTCTCACCTGTCTATAATGAGGCAAATCACCATAAGAAGTTCGGACACAGGGCTCTTCAGAATTTCTGTTCAAGCCTCTTTGATGATTATCATGGCACTTCTTTACATACATTGGGGCAGTGCAAAGCTTCTGGTGCCGATTTGATTTGGAAGAGACTGGGCTCGATTCGGTGGCCGAATCTCCAAATCCGAATCAAATCAGGGGACCAACTCAAAGGTCTGAATCAATTTGAAGCTCTCCGAATTGATTTGGAAAAGATTTGGAGAGCTTTGGTGATTTGGGCATTCCCCAGTGGCTGCAGCAGGGACCTGGAGCAGACCCTGAGCTGGTAAGTAGGGGTCGGGGAAGGGGACCATGGGGGGACCCCGCCAGGTCCCATCCCCCACCTGCTCTCCCAGCCCCCACAATGGCTGCCCCACCTCCCAATGCTTTAAAAAAAAAGCCCCCTCTCACTGGGTGCTGCCAGGCAGATGGGCAATCCCCACTGCTCCATGTTGTGTGGGGGGCTCTGCCGTTAGCACCCCATCCCCGCCTCCCATCCCTCCATTGTTTCCCCCTCTTGCCCCAGCTCTGGCCCTTTAAGAAAAAACAAACAAACAAAAAAACCCCTGGTATCACCAGCTCCTGCAGCAGCCTCGGGGCTTCTGGGGGCTTGTTGCAGAGCACCCCCATGCAGTGCGGGGCAGTGGGGATTGGCCCCTGCCGGCCAGGAACTGGTGAGTGTT